ACTACTATGCTGCTACTACTACTACTGCTGTACTACTACTGCTGTGCTACTACTGCTACTACTACTACTGCTACTACTACTACTGCTGCTACTACTACTACTACTACTACTACTACTACTATACTACTGCTCTGCTACTACTACTACTGCTACTTCTACTGCTACTGCTATACTACTACTACTACTGCTACTATTGCTGCTGCTGCTGCTGCTACTACTGCTACTGCTACTACTGCTACTGCTACTGTTGCTAATGCTATTACTGCTACTGCTGCTACTACTGCTGCTACTTCTGCTGCTACTACTACTACTGCTACTACTTCTACTGTACTGTTGCTGTAATGTATTACTGTACTGCTGCTACTACGACTACTACTCGCTGTTATATAGCCACTTGTGGTTTGCGTTCTTTTTGATTACTACTCTACTACACTACTACTTAACCTTGGTTACTACTTTGACTACTTACTACTACTAACTACTATCTACTATCTACTGCTACTGTTACTACTACTACTGCTACTACTATTGCTGCTGCTGCTACTGCTACTACTACTGCTACTACTACTACTGCTACTACTACTATTGCTAATACTATACGCTATTGCTATACTATGACTGTCTACCTGCTGCTACTACTACTACTGATACTACTCACTTCTGATTCTTCTTTGCTGCTACTAGTATTACTACTTCTACTGTTGTTACTTCTGTGCTGCTGCTACTACGATACTACACTGTTAGCCTTGTGTTTAGCTCTTTTTGTTACTCTACTCTGCTCTACTACTACTACTACTACTACTACTTATAATACACTGCCACAATTACTGCTATACTCTACTGCTTACTACTGCTCTTGGTATTCATTGCGCTGACTACTACCTACTACTACTACCATACTACTTACTACTGTACTACTGCTACGCTACTATGCTACTGCACTACTGCTACTACTACTACTACTAGCTATATACTACCACTACTTGCTCTACTACTACTATACTACTATGCTGCTACTACCACTATACTGCTACTACTACATACTACCACTACTACTGCTACTACTGCTACTACTGCTACTGCTACTACTGCTACTACTACTACTACTACTGCTACTACTACCACTACTACTGCTACTACTACTACTACTACTACTACTACTACTACTACTACTACTACTACTACTACTACCACTACTACTGCTACTACTGCTACTACTGCTACTACTGCTGGTACTACTAATACTACTACTACTATCACTATTACTATCACTATTACTACTGCTGCTGCTACTACTACTTCTGCTGCTACTACTAAGACTACTAATACTACTACTACCACTACTACTGCTACTATTACTACTAGTTCTACTACTTCTACTGCTACTACTGCTGCTACTACTGCACTACTACTACAGCTGCTGCTACTACTATTACTATTGCACTACTTCTACAACAGCTACTAGTATTACTACTGCAACTAGTACTACTACTACTACTACTACTTTTACTACTACTACTACTACTTCCGCTGCTCCTCCTCCTACTAATACTTCCGCTTCTCCTCCTGCTACTAATACTTCCGCTTCTCCTCCTGCTACTAATACTTCTGCTACGACTACCATTACTACTACTATACCTACTACTACAATTGTTACTATTACTACTACTAATAATACTAATAATAATAATAATAATAATAATAATAATAATAATAATAATGGGTTACAGGTCAGCAGGAATCACAGCGTCAACTTCAGGTTGGCACTGGGTTGTGGTGCGACCTGGGACAACACTGCCCAGCCCGTCAGGTCAGTACTTTATACCTGCCAGGTCAGTACTCTATATTTGTCTGGCTAATACCCTACCTCTCATATCAGTATTCAATACCTATCAGGTCAGTACTCTACCTGTTAGGTCAGTGCTCTGTCAGTCAGGTCAGTACTCTACCTGTCAGATCAGTACTCTACCTGTCAGATTAGTACTCTCACTGTCAGTTCAGTACTCTACCTGTCAGATCAGTACTCTCCTTGTCAGGTCAGGACTCTACCTGTCAGGTCGGTACTCTACCTGTCAGGTCAGTATTCTATACCTGTCAGGTTACTACCCTACCTCTCATTTCAGTACTCAATACCTTTCAGGTCAGTACTGTATCTGTTAGGTCAGTGCTCTCCCTGTCAGGTCAGTACTCTACCTGTCAGATCAGTACTCTCTCTGTCAGGTTAGGATTCTACCTGTTAGGACAGTATTCTACTTGTCAGGTCTGTACTCTACCTGTCAGGTCAGTACTTTACCTGTCAGGACAGTACTCTATCTGTCAGATCAGTACTCTACCTGTCAGGACAGTACTCTACCTGTCAGGACAGTACTCTACCTGTAGGTCAGTACTCTGCCTGTCAGGTCAGTACTCTACCTGTCAGGACAGTACTCTGCCTGTCAGTTCAGTGCTCTATCTGTCAGGTCAGTACTCTGTCTGTCAGGTCATTACTCTACCTGTCAAGACAGTACTCTATCTGTCAGATCAGTACTCTACCTGTCAGGACAGTACTCTGCCTGTCAGTTCAGTACTCTACCTGTCAAGTCAGTACTCTTTCAGCCAGGTCAGTACTCTACCTGTCAGGTAAGTACTCTACCTATCAGGCTGGTGTTCTACCTGTCAGGTCAGTATTCTACCTGCCAGGTCAGCACTCCGTCTGTCAGGTCAGTACTCAACCTGTCAGGACAGTACTCTGCCTGTTAGATCAGTACTCTTTCTGTCAGGCCAATACTCTACTTGTCAGTTCTGTGCTCTACCTGTCAGGACAGTACTGTACCTATCAGGTGAGTACTCTACCTGTCAGGTTAGTATTCTACCTGTCATGTCAGTACTCTGCCTGTCAGGTCAGTACTCAGCCTGTTAGGACAGTACTATACCTGTCATGTCAGTGCTCTACCTGTCAGAACTGTACTCTACCTGTCAGGTCAGTACTCTACCTGTCAAGTCAGTACTCTACCTATCAGGCTGGTGTTCTACCTGTCAGGCCAGCACTCTACCTGTCAGGACAGTACTCTGCCTGTTAGGTCAGTACTCTTTCTGTTAGGTCAGTACTCTACTTGTCAGGTCAGTACTTTACTTCGTAGGTCAATATTCCACGTGTCAGGTCGGTGCTCTACTTGTCAGGTCAGTACTCTACCTGTCAGGTCAGTATTCTACCTGTCAGGTCAGTACTCTGCTTGCCATGTCAGTACTCTACCTGCCAGGTCAGTACTCTGCTTGTCAAGTCAGTACTCTACCTGTCAGGTCAGGACTCTACCTGTCAGGTCAGTACTCTACTTGTCAGGTCAGTACTCTACCTGTCAGGTCAGTACTTTGCTTGTCAGGTCAGCACTCTGCTTACCAGATCAGTACTCTGCTTGTCAAGTCAGTACTCTACCTGTCAGGTCAATACTCTACCTGTTAAGTAAGTACTCTACCTGTCAGGTCAGTACACTCCTTGTCGGGTCAGTACTCTACTTGTCAGGTTAGTATTCTACCTAATTGTGTTGGAGCCCTTTAAGTAGGTGGGGGTTACGTTGATGCTCATGGATAGCTTTTGTTCCAAGTAGCAGGAGTTACCTTCCCCTTCCTCGGATCAAACTTGATCTCCCCCTCATTCATCATTTCCATGACACAGTATTGCTTCTCTTGTCTTAGTGTTGCAGACCTGAGTAATGGTTGTGTTTCAGGTTGTAATGCTGGTTGTGTTACAGGTTGTAATACTGGTTGTTTCAGACTGGAGTACTGATTGTGTTTCAGACTGGAGTACTGGTTATGTTTCAGACTGGAGTACTGATTGTGTTTCAGACTGGAGTACTGGTTGTGTTTCAGACTGGAGTACTGATTGTGTTTCAGACTGGGGAACTGGTTGTGTTTCAGGTTGCAATACTGGTTGTGTTTCAGACTGGAGTACTGGTTGTGTTTCAGGTTGTAATACTGGTTGTGTTTCAGACTGGAGTACTGGTTGTGTTTCAGGTTGTAATACTGGTTGTGTTTCAGACTGGAGTACTGGTTGTGTTTCAGACTGGAATACTGGTTGTGTTTCAGACTGGAGTACTGGTTGTGTTTCAGACTGGAGTACTGGTTGTGTTTCAGACTGGAGTACTGGTTGTGTTTCAGACTGGAGCACTGGTTGTGTTTTAGGTTGTAATACTGGTTGTGTTTCAAGTTGTAATACTGGTTGTATTTCAGACTGGAGTACTGGTTGTGTGTCAGGTTGTAATACTGGTTGTGTTTCAGGTTGTAATACTTTTTTGTTTCAGGTTGTAATACTGGTTGTGTTTCAGGTTGTAATACTGGTTGTGTTTCAGACTTGAGTACTCGCTGGACTTCGGTCAGCGGTGGAGGTTGGTACGAGACTTGTGTCTACCAGGTAACAACAGTTGTGTTGACATCACTGACGCCTCCATCTTCTACGCTCCTCTCACCTGGCAAAGATATGTCTACCCACTCAACCATATTGGCCCAGCCAAGTGAGTACTTACACTCTCCTGTCTATACACCAGCTGTAAAGTGATGATGACTTGAGAGAGACTTAGTTCCTACATTATTTCCATGTCAGCAGCTGAACTGTGGATTTAGATTTAAGATAAAAACAAATGATAACAAGGGAAGGGATTCAGGGAAACCGGTTAGCCGGACTTGAGTCCTGGAGGTGGGAAGTACAGTGCCAGTACTCTGAGGAAGGGCTGTTAATGTTGCAGTTTTTTTTTTAACTGAAGTGTATTCATGCCTCTGGCAAGACAGTGATGGAGTGAATGATAATGAAAGTGTTTCTTCCTTATCGTGTGTGTGTGTGTGTGTGTGTACTCACCTATTTGTACTCACCTATTTGTGGTTGCAGGGGTCGAGTCCTAGCTCCTGGCCCCGCCTCTTCACCGGTTGCTACTAGACCCTCTCTCTCCCCGCTCCATGAGCTTTATCAAACCTCGTCTTAAAACTGTGTATGGTTCCTGCCTCCACTACGTCATTTTCTAGGCTATTCCACTGCCTTACAACTCTATGACTGAAGAAATACTTCCTACTATCTCTCTGACTCATTTGTGTTTTCAACTTCCAATTGTGGCCTCTTGTTTCTGTGTCCCCTCCCTGGAACATCCTGTCTTTGTCCACCTTGTCTATTCCACGCAGTATTTTATATGTCGTTATCATGTCTCCCATGACCCTCCTGTCCTCCAGTGTGGTCAGGCCGATTTCCCTTAATCTTTCTTCATAGGACATTCCCCTTAGCTCTGGAACTAACCTTGTTGCAAACCTTTGTACTTTCTCTAGTTTCTTGACGTGCTTTATCAAGTGCGGGTTCCAAACAGGTGCTGCATACTCCAGTATGGGCCTGACATACACGGTGTACAGTGTCTTGAACGATTCCTTACTAAGGTATCGGAATGCTGTTCTCAGGTTTGCCAGGCGCCCATATGCTGCAGCAGTTATCTGATTGATGTGTGCTTCCGGAGACATGCTCGGTGTTATACTCACCCCAAGATCTTTCTCCTTGAGTGAGGTTTGCAGTCTTTGGCCACCTAGCCTATACTCTTACATGAATGAACAAAGTATTGAATTCATGTCCACTAGATATTGCATATTTATGTTGTTTCACATACTGTGTGTGTGTGTGTGTGTGTGTGTGTGTGTGTGTGTGTGTGTGTGTGTGTGTGTGTGTGTGTGTGTGTGTGTGTGTGTGTGTGTGCTAAACAACCACAGGGGGAGTTGAATGATAGTTCTAGGCCTTTCGTGTTGCAATCAACAAATCATCAGGATCTTGCAGAAATAAGTAGGAAGTCCAGGCAGATTAGTTCAAAGGAACTAATGAACTAATCTGCTTGGACTTACTGCTTATTTCTGCAACATTGCAAGCTCCTGATTGTTAGTTGATTGCAACACGAAAGCCCTGGAGCTATCATTCACCTCCCCTGTGGTTGTTTTGCGTCTTGTATTGCTTGATCGCTATTATGTATTATTATGTATATGCATATCCATTTCTGGATAATCATGGATCTGGTGTAACATCTAGGTTCAATGTTTATCACACGCCTACTAACATATATTCATACATACATTACTATTCCAATCACTAAACACGTATTAAACAGAACGTATTTACTTCTGTGCTTTTGAGAGCCCTTAGAATTTGTAGCCCTGAATTCTATGATGGGGATTTAGAAAAATCTATTAAATTGCTTCTAATCTTCAATTCCGTGAACATTTATTAATAAAGCTTTCATAAAGCTTAAAATGACATTGTACAAGACAGAGCTTAAAACCGAGTATAAGCTTGAGAATGTCTTCGTTTTATCATATAATAAAAATTTCTCTCACCTCCCACAAGCTGTTAGATACTTTGATGTTAAAGTTGTCTTGATAGGTGACAACACCGTGAAATAAAAATTATTTAAAAATTCTGCCAAGTAGGTTGTGTATACTCCGTCCCGTGTATAAGCTGTGATACCTTTTATTTAGGACAAACTGGCAAATCTCTTGAGACCAGAATTAAACAACATAAATATGCAATATCTAGTGGACATGAATTCAATACTTTGTTCATTCATGTAAGATACATGTGTAGCAGTTAATTATCTTTAATGTTGAAACGTTTTGCCTAGACATTATTCTTCCTTAGTCAAATACAGAGGCAGCAGGTGTAGCAGTCAAATGAATATGATGTAATCAGTCCATCAACTTTGGAGAAATAGTATGTGAGGTGGTCGGTCCCTCAGCCTGGAGAAGAGGTCAGCTCCATGGTCTGGAACGATATTAAGCTGAAGCATGAGAATGGAGTCTTAAATACTGTCGATGGTGAGGTGGAAGATCTCGAAAACGTTGTAGGGGACGGGATTCACTAGTAGAAGTAAAAATGCAGGTTCCTCTGAACAACCCTTCTCACCCATAACTAGTAGTTACACGACGAAGTGTGGAATTGTCCTCTGTACCAAGATACCGTTGTGTTGCAGTGTCTGACAGTGTCTGCAGTTGTGGGACAGTGTCTGCAGTTAGACTTTATTCTAGTACAAGCTTAGATCCAGTGTTATCCATCCTCTTGAATAGATGACAACCAATAACTTTATCATCACATTGAGTCGTTCCAGTCACCAGGTGATCGCTCTTTCATGCCTGTGTACTCCTGTTACTGAACCGTGAATCTCTACTAATACTCAGGTTAGGTGGATACAGATCTTCATACACAGGATCGTTGTCAGACGATCACTAGTATGTTCTCTCATCTACCAGATGTTCTATACATTGAAGGGTCATCTCAGTGTACCATTGCAGTATCTGTGTCTGGGTTGGCATTTGCAATTGAATCGTTTTGCAGATTACACCGGTATCATCGGCCTTCTACTGCAGTACACTCACTAGTTGATAATTGTCAGCAGTTAATCCCATTGATCTTCTCTAGTTTTTTAACATCACCTGTGATCGTTCTCAGTTACTGAGTGTGATCGTTACTTATAGTTACATCACCGTTGATCAGTCCTCAGATTAATACATTGATCGTTTCTTGTTACTACAGGTGATCTTTCATACATCCGTGACGTCTCACAGTTAGCGACACCATTGATTGAAGTGAACAGTTAATCGTTTCTCCTTTACACCAGTGATTTACTCAGTTAATTGTCGTTCTTCATACAACCGTTGACGTTCTTACTGCAGTTCATTACAGCGATTCTCAGTCATCAGTGCGTTCAGTTAATCACCAGTGAGATCCACATACAGTTATCGTTCTCAGTTCGGTGACTCTGTAATCCAGTTGATCGTTTCTCAGTTACATCACCAGGTTGATCGTTCTCTCAGTTACATCACCAGTTGATCGTTCTCTCAGTTACATCACCAGGTGATCGTTCTCTCAGTTACATCACCAGTTGATCGTTCTCTCAGTTACATACCAGTGATCGTTCTCTCAGTTACATCACCAGTTGATCGTTCTCTTCCAGTTACATCACCAGTGATCGTTCTCTCAGTTACATCACCAGTTGATCGTTCTCTCAGTTACATCACCAGTTGATCGTTCTCTCAGTTACATCCCAGTTGATCGTTTCTCTCCAGGTTATCATCGCCAGTTGATCGTTCTCTCAGTTACATCACCAGTGATCGTTCTCTCAGTTACATCACCAGTTGATCGTTCTCTCAGTTACATCACCAGTTGATCGTTCTCTCAGTTACATCACCAGTTGATCGTTCTCTCAGTTACATCACCAGTTGATCGTTTCTCTCAGTTACATCACCAGTTGATCGTTCTCTCAGTTACATCACCAGGTGATCGTTCTCTCAGTTACATCACCAGGTGATCGTTCTCTCAGTTACATCACCAGTTGATCGTTCTCTCTCAGTTACATCACCAGGTTGATCGTTCTCTCAGTTACATCACCAGTGATCGTTCTCTCAGTTACATCACCAGTTGATCGTTCTCTCAGTTACATCACCAGGTGATCGTTCTCTCAGTTACATCACCAGTTGATCGTTCTCTCAGTTACATACAGTTGATCGTTCTCTCAGTTACATACCAGTTGATCGTTCTCTCAGTTACATCACCAGTGATCGTTCTCTCAGTTACATCACCAGTGATCGTTCTCTCAGTTACATCACCAGTTGATCGTTCTCTCAGTTACATACCAGTGATCGTTCTCTCAGTTACATCACCAGGTGATCGTTCTCTCAGTTACATCACCAGTTGATCGTTCTCTCAGTTACATCACCAGTTGATCGTTTCTCAGTTACATCACAGTTGATCGTTCTCTCAGTTACATCACCAGTTGATCGTTCTCTCAGTTACATCACCAGTTGATCGTTCTCTCAGTTACATCACCAGTTGATCGTTCTCTCAGTTACATCACCAGTTGATCGTTCTCTCAGTTACATCACCAGTTGATCGTTCTCTCAGTTACATACCAGTTGATCTTCTCTCAGTTACATCACCAGTTGATCGTTCTCTCAGTTACATCACCAGTTGATCGTTCTCTCAGTTACATCACCAGTTGATCGTTCTCTCAGTTACATCACCAGGTTGATCGTTCTCTCAGTTACATCACCAGTTGATCGTTCTCTCAGTTACATCACCAGTTGATCGTTCTCTCAGTTACATCACAGTGATCGTTCTCTCAGTTACATCACCAGTTGATCGTTCTCTCAGTTACATCACCAGTTGATCGTTCTCTCAGTTACATAACCAGTTGATCGTTCTCTCAGTTACATCACCAGTTGATCGTTCTCTCAGTTACATCACCAGGTGATCGTTCTCTCAGTTACATAACCAGTTGATCGTTCTCTCAGTTACATCACCAGGTGATCGTTCTCTCAGTTACATCACCAGGTGATCGTTCTCTCAGTTACATCACCAGGTGATCGTTCTCTCAGTTACATACCAGTGATCGTTCTCTCAGTTACATCACCAGTTGATCTTTTCTCTCAGTTACATCACCAGTTGATCGTTCTCTCAGTTACATCACCAGTTGATCGTTCTCTCAGTTACATCACCAGTTGATCGTTCTCTCAGTTACATCACCAGGTGATCGTTCTCTCAGTTACATCACCAGTTGATCGTTCTCTCAGTTACATTACCAGCTGATAATTCTCTCAGTTACATCACCAGGTGATCGTTCTCTCAGTTACATCACCAGTTGATCGTTTCTCT